ACCAGAAAGCTAAGAGATAAAGATGCAGAATTAGTTAACGCATCTTCCCCAAAAAAGATCTTGGCATAACTTGTCAACAGGCCCTAAATGTACTTGAAGTCTCGTTGGCAAGGATTAGAAATTATGTACTTCTTTCTTTTAAACAGGCGGCAGAGCAACTTTAACATGGTATACACTAAAAAGAAAAACTGACGCAGTGGGACTGACTCGGGTGGCCACTGGCCAAACTTGCTTCTGCGTCTCTCCTCTCCCTGTGCTTCCGCAGGTTGATGGAGGGAAGTCGGAAGCGCTGTTGTTCTTCTGTTAGACCTTCAGTCATTTTGCTCAAGCCTAAAATGAGTACTGACTTTTCAGAGAATTAATATCTTTATTCTGACCAATTAAGTAGAGCATCGATTGTGCTTTCAAAGAGTGATTTCCCTTATTTCCACATTTTTAGGAGGAATAGTATAGTTTTTCCCAAGTGGGAAAGAATTTGGGGTAATAAAAATTAAACTATTTGGACTATAGCTTTGGAGATAAAGTTTTCTCTGTCCTGTCAGAAAAAAATGTATCAGATTTATTGAGTTATAACACATCCAGCTTATATTTGTACTTTTGCGGGGGAAAAGAATCTTCTAATGTACCTCATTTTTACCTCTACAAAATATGGATCTTAATTTATATTTTTCTGTCAAGGGCAAGCAATGGGACTTGATGTCCATGAAAATCCTGCAGCAAAGTAACAGAAGGAAACCCTTCCACAGGGGGGCCTAGAGAACCTTGACCATCCCTTTGAAGTCACAATGACTGATACCACCTACCATATGATTAGAAAGGCAACCTAACTGAACCTAATAACAAGGGATCAGAAGGATTTAGGAACAAACAAGGAGTCAGTAAACAATGGGGAATGAGTTATGTAGAAAAATGTGTTCTTCTCAAGTGATGAGGTTGAAGTTAGAAAAGGATGAAAGTGCATTATTTGGGGATGAGTGTGAAAGTTGTAATTGGAATCTAAAAAGGAATATAATAGTTTCTCAGACTCAGAATTTCCTGAGTGATAGTGGGAGGACTGTTTTCTAAAACAATAAAAGCATTACAAAAGCAAAGTTTTCATAATAGCATAAAGGGTTAATGCTGTTAAAGTAAAAAATATTTGTGCCCTGCTTGTTTACTCCCTCTCTGAGATGGGCAAAACCCTGTTCTCAGCCACACTCCTCTAGAGAAACAGCAGCAAAACAAACTGAGTGAGTTTTTTTTAAGTGCCCACTGAGTTGCAGGGAAACAAAATGTCCAAACCCTTCCAGGAGTAAATGGTCACTAAGAAATAAACAATGGATTAAACCTTCACTTAAAATTTTCACTTTAACTATTTCTTTAAAACTACCCACATTAAGAACTCCACAGGTTCTACTTTTCACTTACTGTACTGAACAAAACAAAATCTAGCTTTAGCTAAAATATCAATCCTTGCCCCTCTAATTATTCACTTTAAAAATCTATCATTGGCAAAGAATAGTCATTCAGTTAATTGTATGTTTAATACTGCCACAACCTTTTGAAAATACAGTAAACTGTAATCCAATATTCTACTTGAAATAACACATGGTACTTTAGTTACACGAATTTCCAAGAAGGCAAATCTGAAAATGCTTAGTGATAACATAAGGCTCCATAAGCACTCTATAAACTATTTTTGAGATCTTAATAGGTGTTTTATATTGACTCTGTTCATAAAATAATAACAACCCCAATTTAACAAGGGCTGTCATCATTTACCTAGTATTGAACTTAACAAGAATTGTATTAAATTTAGGTCAATACTATATATTTATGCAGCTTTTTAAACAAACATAGCTCCAAACCCATTAAGATGCTTATTAGGTAAAATAGTCATCTAAACATTCAGGAAGTTAAAACACTCAGCTTTAAATTATTTAATGATACTCCCTTTTAATACATCTTGAAAGTCTGAATTTGGACAGTATTTGCATGAATGTTGATACTTTCATAGAATAGATCGTTTCAAACTGTTATTTTCATCCTTCAAAGGTAGGTTTTAAGTTACTTTCATTAACTGTCTACCCTTTTCTATTACACAGTGTGCACCATGTGTGTATAATATCAGCGTTATTTGATATGAGGCATCAAATTACCTAACACTAATTGTATTATTGCTCCTGATTAATTAGTCTTAGGCATGTTTAATTTTGTGGTTAACTGGCAAGACCCTCAGACTCCTGGGAGGAACAGATAATTACACCATGATATTACACAATAGTTAACAATCAAATAAGAGCAAAAGATATAAATGAAGATATACCACTCTTCACATTTTTAACCACATGTATGTGTAATGTTATACAAGAAACCTCATATCATGGCTAAGTACTAGAATGCACTACATTCAGAAAATTTAGAGGCTATCCCAAATTTCCTTAGTAACTGTATCTAGTTATACCATACACATAGGGATAAAGGGAAGTTACTGTATAAGTAAGAGACTGAACTTAACATTCCTGTTTATCATGTAATTTGTTTCAAAATTAGTACAGTGGAATTATTCGGCTTCTTCTGTAATGGCTTTTGTATTTTTGATTAAGCAATTTGATTTTCTAATTAGGATATCGATTAAGTGATTAAGACAAGCTAAGGACTGTTTATCCTTATTTATACTGGAACGTAACCTGAATAAAAACCTGTAATGTCGCCTAGCAGATAGAGACAAAGAGAACAGGAAAAGCAGGCATTAGACCACATCGCCTTGTCCAAATCAATTTAATGTCAGAGAGGACCGGAATTCAAATTAGTTAAACTGAGCTGGAAGCCTTATTCTGTCCCATTTTATATATTAAAAAATCCTCAACAGCCTTAAGGATTCATGCCAGAACAATGAAATATTAAGTGTGGTCACTTTTCACAGTAATTACATGTTTTTCAAAGAGCATCCAGCATGGCTGAAAAACAGAGCAGTACTAGAGATGCAGAGTGAAAAGCAAGTTTACTGCTGTTTTTAACTGATTTCTATCTTCTTGGACATCCTTCCAGAGATACGCTAACCAGGAATTTAAAAAAAAAACCAGTCTTAAAATATGGCTGCTCTATTCAAACAGTTAGTGTTTGACTATCACATGATATTGTACATAAAAAACCCTAAAGAATCTCTAAACAATAAATGTATGTTTCAGTACCTCTGCTGCACTCTCTGCATAGAATCATGGCCAAACTACACTTGCTGTTTTTACTTGACAGAGAGAGTCCCAACAGAGAAAGAAAATGGCATTCCGTCCTAAAATTAAATAGAAAATGGAACAATATCAAATATTGTAGGACTAGAAGAAATTTATCCCAATTCACAACATTAATACTAAAAAGTTGTTAAGACACATATTTAGAAAACCTTTTTAATTCCCTCTAACTTGAAAATAACGCTTACCAAAGACATCTTCTTTTCTTGGAACAACGAATATGTGACGGCCACAGACTGTGAAAGTGTGCAGAGTTCATTTTTTGCCACCAAACTTTTCTTCTGTTCTTGAAGTTTTGTACTTGAAAAGAAGTTTGTCTGCAAAATATAAAATGCAGCATAAGTGATCAGTAGTAATATCAATATAACAATAGATATCAATATGATCATTAGGCATTAGGGAAAAAGAACACAAATAAAACCTCTAAGTAACAGTCAAAAGTTCTCTTTTTATGAGGAGCACAAAAAGCAGCTTAATTTTGTTTTGTTTCTACATACTGATTTTAAAAAGTAAAGTAAGGCTAAAGGGAAAAAGTTTTTAATAAAATATTTATAATAACAAACATAGTTGTAGAACAAGAAATTTCTCATCTTCCCTTAGCCAATGAGGGAATAAAAAATAAACAATACTGTAGACCATTCTGCCTGTAAATGAGTCCCCTATCTCCTCTAGGTGAATACTGGACAAATGAATAAACAATTAATATTCAAATTTTGGTACTATAGCCACAAATTCTGCTACTATATCATATTATCATAACTATATATATATATATATATATATATAATTTTAAAACATACATACAAACTATTGCTGTAAACTTGAACGATCGTGTAAAATCTTAAATATGGGTTCCTTAAGAACATTTAAAAGAAGAAAGGGAGGAAAGGATTGAAAAATAAGATTAACAAAGAAATACCGGAATTTTTTTACAGCCTGCAAGAAAGGTAAAGACCAAGTGATAGTTATGAAAAAATTATATGATAACAATTCACAGAGATGCATGTTCCCTCCAATGTGCCAACTTTACCTTCCAAAACATAACAGCAATACTAAATTAAAAGAATTAAATCCCACTGAACTTGACTTATTATAAGCACACTAGTGCATTCCTACCCTGAACAAAAAGTGAGCCTATAGATTAAGTCAGACACCAGGGATAACCGCAGGCTGGCACAAAGACAAGCCAGACAACACCACAAAGACTTAAGGCCTTCAGATGGTTTCTAGCCCCCCTCGATTTTCAAGGAAGAACATTTTTTATTAAATGAAAATGAAGTGTTTCCCTCTGAGGCCTTAACACTGTCAATTTTGGCCTTAAATTTCTAGTAATGCCAAAAATGAAACTCCATCGGCCAGATTCCTCACAATTACTGAGCAGTCATTCCTGGAGGCTACGACAGGACACCCCTATTCCAAGGTCTTAGAAATGTGACCACTGTTATTCTGGCAAATCCATGAAGATTTTAGGATAGATACATGGGACAAAATCATGTTATCATCTGTAAGTGTGTGACTAAACATTCAGGGACACCCAAAACTCTGAGCAACGTAATATGAGAGTAATAATGTCAAGAAGGTCAGGCCAGAATGTGATTCTAATAAGTAAAAACCTAATCAAATCATGCTCTGTGTAGATAAAAGACTGAGTGAACAGAGTGTCATCAATTATGGAAATACACAGATAGGGCAGACAGGAGGCGAAAAGCAGGCAGAGCCTATGTAAGCATTGTTCAGATGGGAAGACATCCTAGTAACTAGGTTTGAATATTAGAGCTGCCTGGGCGAACGGTGTATGAGAATGCTGCCCCCAGCCTTTGTGGCTGGCAGACTGCTGAAAACTACCAGAATTTGCCTTTTTACATTCCAGGCTTGCCAACACTCAAATAAGCTAGCTCCGCATACATCTTCTTCTACAGGAGAGAACACACTGGTTGGGTCAAGTGAACCTTTCCAGTTGTATTTCTCACTATAAATTAATGAATATGCATTCCAATATATACACTTATATTTATATAGACACACATATATACATAAAGCCAAGTTCACAGAGAAGGATCATGCAAATCTACTTCCCCAAAACACAACAATTCTGAGACAAAACATTAGAATTTTAAGATTTACAAGGATGTGGACTGAGCCCCTTGCCTAGACCATGGCAAATGCCACGTGAGAGTAACCAGCTAAGTATCCCCAGAAAATATGCAATACCCAGCTATTCTGAAGCTTTAAAATAGAAACAGAAATAACACCTGGCTCTGTTTTATTTAGGTGTATAACATGCTCAGAACACCAAATTCCCTTCCCTAGAGTTATGTGATTGCAATTATCTTCGTCTTAATGTGAGAGTACAGCTCTGACAGTCTTCCACTGGTGAAGTGAAATGCCAGAAAGTTGTGGAAAAAAACACTTCATTGCCTTGGCTCAGATAACTTGAATTCTAAAATCTGACATCATACATGTGACATAGAAGAAGACAAACAGAAACATTTATATCAAGGAACTACACTCTTCTTTAACTTTTTAAGTTATTTGTTAGAGGTTACATTATCACCACAGAATGCTGTTTTAAGCTACCTCTATGTGTATTTAAAAAAAAATAGTTGTCCGTCTCTTTTTATAAGTAGCTGCCAACTATGAGTTCATCTATGGTGGGGGCTGGGTATTTTAAAAACATTGTATATTCCATGTAAATTTATTTTTAATTTTTAACTTTTTTTCCTAAATGGTCATCTTAATGGATTTAAGACCTACATCCTCATATTTATAACCTTTGATTTGTATTATGACAGTATTAAGTTTACTTCAAATTTTATGTAGATATATTAAAAGCTTAATGAAAGTGGTGAATGACAAAATTGACTTCATAAAGATGAAAGTTCATTAACTTCTTTCTTTAATAAATGGTGTTGATTTACAGAACAGTTCAGGCATAATTCCCAAACACAGAAATTAGCAGTAATTTTATCTGTCCAGAAGGTTCAAAAGTATTTTGAACTATGTCCTTTAAAGCATTTATCTTTTGCTCTACTTCAATTTCCTCTCCTGAAGAGGGGTTGGAAGGGATAATTCTGTTGTTATTAAATAATACCACTAATTCATGAAACAAGATCCTACAGTCAAGTGTCCAAAGAGAGGAAACTTAGTCAATTACCATTGGTAAGTATGGCATTATCAAATTGTTAAGAAATATAATTTCATTTTCAAGATATCCAATATGAAATATGAGGAATTCTCACATGATATCTTGTGTAGTGGTATGAAAAGAAAATGTAAAGTTGCTCAAGATATTCTGTATCAAAAGAGGGAAATGTTACATACAAAAAGCAGAAGTTTTCTACTTATAGTTAGAGAATGACTTCTAAATTGGGACCCAAATGTGCCTGTCCAAAGCTTGCAGAAGTTTCTTAGAAGTGAAAGCAATCCCTTAGAAGTAAAAACAATCCCTTAATACTACCTGGCATATTTTCAACTCTTCCAGCTTTTTATATGTTCCCATATCTTTTGTTTCTAATTTATCTGTTGTTCCCCTGATATCCGGAAGGAAAGTTTCATATCCACTGTGCAGGTGAGGAAATGGAGACCCAAATAAGTAGAAGAACATTGAGCAGCTTCACCAGGTAGACTGTGGCAGAAGAAAACTGATTCCCTGAGTCAGAGTCTGGCAGCCTTGCCAGGCCTTGCACTGCATCACCTCCTGTGCTGGGCACACACACAGTGGCATCTGCATGTAGAATTTAAAGAAAGCAACACAGTGATCCTTGTGGACATGGTCACTTTCAGGGGAGCAAGAAGTAATAAAAGGATATGAAGAAAATCCTACTGAGGCTGAAGAGAATAATAAGAAATTTATTTAATATCAAAAGACAGCATGCCTGGAAGGGGAAGGGAATTAGAGAATACAACAAATGATAACAAAAGCAAAGTGGCTGGGCTCCATTCCAACTGATGCCATGACTGTAGCTTTCATTTCTATCAACACTGGAAAGTAAAATGACGTTACCAACCTAAAATACGGTCCTTATTCAAATTTAAAGACAAAGCCTCCCAACAAAATAGAAAGACATGAGCAGCCTGGACAACTACTTTAGTATTTAATCTTAAAAATTAGGTAACTAATTTTTATAACTGATTTACTGTAGAACAATCTGAACTCACTGTCTAAATACCTAGTATGGAAATGAGAATAAGGAGAGAAAACGTTGCTTTTGACACCGTCAAAAAATATTTACTCTCTCTGAGCTGCAAACCATAGTATTTTACCTGAAGATTATTTATTTGACAGAAATGCTTGATGACTTCCAACAGAGGAGCCAGCATAGTTGCTTTGCCTTCAGAAACACCATCGATCTTTTTCACATTTTCAACTGTAGTAGGTCTGTCATTTAAAGAAAATAAAGCCAAGAAACTGCTGAAACATTAGCACACGAGCCACACAGCCAATGTTTAGCTTCGTACCGACACTCAATAACAGACTTTTTTTTTCAACAACCAAAAGCAACATGTAATACAAGTGACTGTGTTTTGTACTGTCTTCCTTTGCTGTCCACCATTTAAAGATTTGCTGTTTTAGCAATTTATGAATAAAAACACCACCACCCAAGAGCACAGTACTAACTGGTAAACATGCCATTATCATAAAGGAACAGACTACTGTTCTATTCCATTACTGATCTTATTATTATTATTATTTTTATAGATATGAAAAGAAAAACTATGAGGCTTTGAGGACAACTAAAAGGCTGAAAAACTCAGAAGACAATCTCACTGATTATTTACAAAGTGATTACCTGTAACAGTAAGCCTGCTAATTACGTTAGTATTTTAACTCAGTATTTCTTATTATGTCCAATATCCAAGAGACCATCTGATGTCTTCTTTCTCAAACCTGCCAACCTAATGATTACTCCCCTTTCCTTTAAATATCTTCACTGAGTATTAGAGTGTGGTCTGTGAATACTTATCTTTAATGAAATAATCATCGTCAGATATAAGTGCTATGTAATATTATTAGAAACTTCTACACTAAATAACATCTCTTAAATGGACTTGAGTGACAGAAACAATTTTTTAAAAGGAAGCATAAAAAAAGATGAATAGAATTACCAAGGAACTATTCTTTGGAAATAATTTCTTCTAAATATTTGACCTAAATTTTCTTCTAAATATTTACTGACCACCTAGTATTTACTAGTCATTCTGTTAGGTGCTTTGGAATACATAAAAAGATGGGGAACATAATCCCTTTATTCAGAGTTTAAAATCTAGAAGATAGAACACATGTATACCAATAACAAAAAAATAAAGCATTGTGTAGTAAGTGTCACAGAAGCATTTTTTAAATTTATATTTAAAAGTCCTTTATGAATTGCAGAGAGAGGAAGTACTCCACTGATAAGAACACAGAAGACTTCATGGAGAAAATCATAGTAAAGCCAGATCTCTAAGGATTTCCTAACAGGAGTTTGGGGGAATCAAAGAAACTAACAAGGCAGAAGCAAGACTGCAAATAAGTAAATGGAAGCTAAAAAGGCATCTTCAATAAATGGTAAGCAATCTAGATAAGAGAGACCATCCAAAATTCTGTGACTTAGATGCAAGTGTAGGTTTACATACATAAATGGAGGTCCCTGTGCTGTAAGCTAATAAGTTAAGGCAGTAGGAAACTAGTTAAGCAGAAGTACAACATAATAAAAAAGATTAATTGGTATACTCATGTATCAGATGAAACAGAGAGCGAGACAGACAGAGGAAAGGGTAACCGGTTAAGAGGCTTTTGCACAACCCAAGGGCAATGGTTTTAACTACCGTGGTGTCACTAAAAAGAGGGAGGAAGGCATAGACAGACACACAGAAACACTTAAATCAAAGACTAAAAACTACTAAAATGAGAGGAATATGGGGAATGTATGTTGAATGAAAATAAAAATGAGAAGTTTTAAACATGCGTAATTGGGAACATGACGGTATGACTGACAGAAATAAGGAATACAGAAAGGAGAGTTGTGGTATTTGTATGAAATGCATGTTTGCAGGATTGGTGGATAATGAGTTAGATTTCACATATACCAGATATGACTGCTCAAAACAACTGGTTTTCAGTTATGTAGACAGTGGGATTGAAGCTCACTGGTAGCTGCACAGATTTGGGTCGCCTCACAGACATGACTGCAGGGCCACAGTCATATTACCACCTAATGATATATCTTACAAATCCATTATGTTAGAAGAAAATAAGTTAGAACAAAGGCAAACAGTTTACCTCATTTTGGCCATATCCACCAGTATCTTATTGGTTGCCAGAATAGGTGGAGGAACATCCATTTTATGGGCGTGTTTCTGCCTTGCTTCTACCAATTTGCTATATAACAGAGTCTGAACAAAGAACAAAGAAACAACTCAACACTTTTTAAAAACGTACTTAGAAAAATCCAGTCCTTTATTTTTAGGGCTTCAGATATTACATTTTCCCTTAGGATAAAAAATAAACTGAGCCCTACCTCACACTCTCAGATAAAGAACAATTTTAAAATACAGGGAACAGAATTTTAAGCATGTATAGAATCATCACTGTCCTCTCACAAACTAAATGCCTTTTTATAAAACCATACCTGAGTCTCTTGCTCTTTAGTGGAAATAACAGGTTCTGAGGACTGGTAAGATTTTCCTGGTGACTGTACCATCATGCTAAAATATTGAAAAAGACAATAAGTAATAAAAGCTTTTCCTTCTCCATGTTGACTTTTTATTTCACCCCCAAAATGAGAGTATCTTTCCAAGTTAACACAAACATTTACTCTTCACAATACCAGTAAGGCAGCTGTTACTCATATGACAGCCTCAATTTTAAATACTTTGGATCAAATACATTCACTATAGAAGTAAAATTAAAATCGCAATTTGAGTTCATCAGAAAACTGGTATACTTAGGAAGGGCATTTGGCCATCCTTCCTCCTGAACCAAGTGCTTTGAAAGAAAATACTCATGCCAAAAATAATATTTTCTAGCCAAAGAATCTCTGATTCTTTGCTGTGATATCACTAATTTTTGGTTGGTAAGGAATATTAGCATGGGACTAATCAAATTATTCATAATTTTCTTCAAAATCAAACAAATAAAAGTAAGCCAAAAGGGTTACAAACCGAGCGCCGATTTATTGATAAGTCTTTTCCTAATTATCAGCGATCCTTTACCCTGCTAGGGATAGAAATAGTCTCTACGAAATGTCACTACGCTGTGGGGGCGCTGCCTGCACCATGGGGCGTCGGGTGAGCGGCGGGCGAGCAGGGCATTTGGAAGATACTTATGCAGCCCAGTCAGAGCAGTAAGTTCCTTGCCAGATAAAAAAAAGGAATTTTTACAAAATGGACCAGACCTTCAAGAATTTGTATCTGGTGATCTTGCAGACAAAAGCATCTGGGATGAATATAAAGGAAACTTAAAACGCCAGAAAGGAGAAAGATTAAGGTTACCTCCATGGCTAAAGACAGAGATTCCCACCGGGAAAAATTACAATAAACTGAAAAATACATTGCGGAATTTAAATCTCCACACAGTGTGTGAGGAAGCTCAATGTCCCAATATTGGAGAGTGTTGGGGAGGTGGAGAATATGCCACTGCCACAGCCACAATCATGTTAATGGGTGACACATGTACAAGAGGTTGCAGATTTTGTTCTGTTAAGACTGCAAGAAATCCACCTCCACTGGATGCCAGTGAGCCCTACAACACTGCAAAGGCAGTTGCAGAGTGGGGTCTAGATTATGTTGTCCTGACATCGTGGATCGAGATGATATGCCTGATGGAGGCGCTGAACACTTTGCAAAGACTGTATCATATTTAAAGGAAAGGAATCCAAAAATTCTTGTGGAATGTCTCACCCCTGACTTCCGAGGAGATCTTAAGGCAATAGAAAAAGTTGCTCTGTCAGGATTAGATATGTATGCACATAATGTAGAAACGGTTCCAGAATTACAGAGGAAAGTTCGTGATCCCCGGGCCAATTTCAACCAGTCTCTACTCGTACTGAAATACGCCAAGGAGGTTCAGCCCAATACTATTTCTAAAACATCTATAATGTTGGGTTTAGGTGAGAATGATGAGCAAATATATGCAACAATGAAAGCCCTTCGAGAGGCAGATGTAGACTGTTTGACTTTAGGACAATATATGCAGCCCACAAAGCGCCACCTTAAGGTTGAAGAATACATTACTCCTGAAAAGTTCAAATACTGGGAAAAGTAGGAAATGAACTTGGGTTCCATTATACTGCAAGTGGCCCTCTGGTGCGTTCTTCATACAAAGCAGGTGAATTTTTCCTGAAAAATCTGGTGGCTAAAAGAAAAACAAAAGCCCTCTAAAATTTAACAAGACCTTCAAGATCACAGGAATTTTAAATACTTGATTCCAGTTGGTAATAGTGGTGGTACCAGAATGTGTAGACTTCAGCGGACATACCCCAGACTTTCTGTTTTAAGGAAAATGTCAATAAGCTATGCCTATTTATTTAGTGATTCGCTTGTCATTTANAAAAAAAAAAAAAAAAAAAAAGTAAGCCAAAAGGAGGAATTTTACTTTTGACTCCTCAGAGGTGGAGATGAATGGAGAGATACTGTATCCATGAAACAAGAAAAGATTGCTATACATTATTGAAGAAAGAGATTAAAAAATCACTTCCAGAAATTAAAAATTTGGTAACAAAAATAAAATCTCACTACATGGGATGAATTTCGAGTCAAGGAGCTCTACAAGACAGTGAACAAACAAAAAGAGACTGAAAAGAAGAGAAGAGAAAAATTAGTAGTAAGAACACTAAAAACCAGGTAAAGAAAATGAAAAAGACACTTATTAACATCAAGGAAAATTAAGGTAGTGGTGACCATAATAACAATTTGGCTTAGTAATATACCATATTTGTGTAGATATAATAATGAACAAATTATTAATATGATTATAACTAGAAAGATAATTGCTTGGGGCAGGGGGATTTAGGGAGGGGAAACAAAGCTAAGGGACATGGGAAAGAAGCCCTAATTTACCATTACAGGATGTCAACAGAAAATTTCTAAAACTGTTAAGTCAAAAAATAGTAATTGAAGTATATCACTTACAAATATGGAAGCAACTACCAGAGAGATCAGCTGGAAGATCTGAGGACAGCTGCTTCCACAGAACAGAACAAAGTGGGTTTGGGAAGGGTGTGAGCTGCTGTGCCTTGTTATATGACGTTAAGTACCAACCGACTCTTAAAACCATGCGCATGTATTATTTTAGAGAAAACTCAAACTTTCAAATAGTAATTATGGATATGTAAGCATCTTGCTCACTTCTACACAAAGCCCACATATTAAAAACAATTTCTGAACCACTCCACAGGGATCTCAAATTCAGCATATCTATCTCTAAACTCATTTAACCTCATCCACTAAACACTGAACCCCTGAAACCTGTCCTCCTCTTATGTTGCCCAGGGAGGGAATGACAATACTTTCACTCACAATTCAAGACAAAAACCCAAGCATTATGCTCTAGTCCACCAATTTCCCTTAAACCACCTATCTTTTCATCAGTCACCGAGTCCTAACAATTCTATCTCCTACATACCTTACAATTCTGTTTCTTTCCATGCCCACTGCCACTTTCCTCGTCTGAGCTGCCATCCCCTCTTGCAAATGCTACTGCAATAGTCTCCTTATTTGTGTCTCTACAACTTGAATCCTCCCACAACCCATTCTCTCTGCAATGAGGGTCATCAACCAAGGGACAGCCCACCTGGGGTGCAGGGGCCAAATCCATCTGTTCTGGTTAAGGTCTGTAAGCTACGAAGAGTATTTTATATTTTTAAATGGTTAAATAAAAAAAAGAACATTTTGTGATGTGTGAAATTATTATCCACAAATAAAATGTAATTGGATCACAGCCACACTCATTTGTTTATGTCTCGTCTACGGCTGCTTTGAGGCTACAATTGTAAAGTTGAATAGTTGACACAGACCACATGGCCTTCAAAGCTTAAAATATTTACTCTCTCATCCTTTACAAAAAATGTTTGCCAACCCCTGTTCTCAATCATAAATTTGATGTTCTGCTTGAAAGCCTTCCTTAGCTCCCAACTGCCTTTATGATCAAGCCAAGTATTTGAAAGGAACTGGATATTCTATTTAATTAACCATTTTAAATTTTTACCACTTGCGTGATTCCCTCTGCCAGGAACGGTTAGCACGCTGTTGGGTCCCTCAACCAATGCCATACCCTGTGTTGCTTGCAGGTTTTAGTGTGTGGGCCATTTCTCTGTTCAGAACACCTCCCCTCACTTCACCTAACAACTATTTAAGCCACAGATGTCACTTCCAAAGTGAGATTTTATGTTCCTTTTACCTGCACATATTCCACTAGAGTATAAATACTGAAGGGGCCAATAACTGTATCTCTATTATTCAATCGCAATTCCTAGAATAGCGCCAGGCACAAAAAGATGCATAGTGAAGACACAGTAATCTTTAAATGAGGAAATGCTGCAGCATATTGGATATATTGTACCATCCACCCCTTTAATCTTTTGTTTACATAAAACATTTATCATATACTATAAATCAAAACAAAAATAAATTGTTTGGGATAGGAGCTGGAATTATGGTAAATGATTCTGACAGATGCAAAGTAGTATTCATCTAAGCGAGCAAACCACAGAAATAAGTAACAGTATTAGAGCACCTTAATTTACTTTCACCCGATATAGATGTAAACAAAGCCCATCTAATCTGTGTGCAGGTCCTGGCAAGTTTTTCAAATTCCCCATCTTCAGACCTTCTGCAATTCTGTACATCCTCCACACTTATATTAAGTCAGGAAATAAAATATTAATTAAGCTTTAAAGTACAGTAAGTCCATTACCTCTATTCTCTATCGACTCTCATATCTACCATTTTATGTTACCATAAAATCTTTTTTTTAATGGAGTGTTAATTATATAAATACAATTAGTGTTCAGAAGCTAAAGGTTGATAAGTACAGATTTGAAAGCTAGTTGTGCCACTAGCTGTATGCTCTTGAACTTCAAGTTCACTTGACCCTTAGTATCTTCAACTTAAAATGGGGATAAATAATAATAGCTAGTTCACAGGCTGTTATAAGAATTAACTGAGATATTACATATAAAATAATACTGAGCATAGAGCGTGGCACACAATAAGTGTTAGTTATTAAATTAATATTAATAATATCATTTTATAGGTCTGCTTTAATAATAATACTGGAGGCTTATGCTTTAACTTTAACTTCCTTTTACCAATGAAATAGTGCAACACCTGACAGACCTTTGTCTTTAGGAGAGAAAAAAAATGCTGATAAAGTCAATATAGTAAATAAAAATTTTGAATTCTGTACCTTTTTATAGGAATGTTACTCCGAGAAGAAATTTTATCAAATGCTGTGTAAGAATACATCTTCTCCAAGTTAGACTGCTTTAAAATACATAAAGGTCCATTAAAAAAATTAAGTTACAAAATTTTTCAATATGAAGAAAATATTAAATCTCACAAATGACAACTTTCCCTGGCTAACCAAGTCATCAAATAAACCACCTGAAAATAAGCTCTTGAATTATCAACTTAGATTCTAAATGCAGTTTATGCAATATAATGCCCCATTTCTCCCAAAGCTATAGAGAACATATGATCAAAAGAATTTTTTGATCAAGTGACCCATTAGTAAGCAAAACCAAAGTTACAGAAAGCAATTCAATTCCACTTCATATGCTTTATTAAAACAGAAAATGTTTACCAGAAAATTTAATTCAGCACATTTGTCTACTTCCCCAGTGTTCTAATTAGCTGAAGTTTGCCTAACTTTAATAAGAACATTAGGAATCAGGCTTATTTTTCTATCGATTCTAAGTATCCTAGCATGTTAAAAAGAAACAGAACTCCAAGCCAAATTAGTTATAAAACAGGGTTAAAAGAAACAAAATAAGACTCTTCTCAAACACTGACTGTTCTATTCACCCCAGAAATCATATACTGCCTATATCGTTTTGTTTGTATCACTTTTTACCAAATGTTATGTTTTGTTATATCTGCCACTTTCCTCTTCAATAGGAGGAGAATTAAAACACCAATAAAGAATGAAATAAGTTAAGAACCACTGCCTGAATGACAACAAACCTCCTTCTCCACAGTTACTCCAGCTGGTCCTTGGTTAGAGGAATGCCGCTCTGTGCCTGAAGATGCAGGTTTAGAACTGGAATATAATAAAATTCAATCGTCTCAAATGTTAATATGTAATTATTTAATCCATCATCATGCCTCCACTTTTAGAAAGACAAGTGAGATTACATTACTCCCTTAGAAGTGATGACTTTTTAAACTGACTTTTCCCCCCCCGAGAAAAAGTTCTGGGAAGAGCTTTAAAGTTAAGTTCTTTTAAGTTTAAAAATCCTTTAATGTTTTTTAAATTTAAGAGAAAAACTGATAATCTAATGCACACTATAGTTATTATAGCCAACAATACTGTATTGTAAGATTCAAAGTTGCAAAAAGACTAGATCTTAATTGTTAACACGAAAGAGAAGTGATAATTATGTGATGTGATAAGTGTTACCTAATACTACTAAAGTAATCATAGTGCAATATATAATTTGCAATTACATTATGCACTTTAAGCTTACATGTTTTATTTCAATTATATCTCAATTTTAAAAAAAAAGAAAAAAGAAATGATTGGTAACATGTAAAGGTTACTGACTAAAAAGTAGGTGACAAGTGTATTTCCTTCCCACTTTCTACACATAAAAATGAAATATGGTATATGGTTTCTTCAACATTGATTTCAATGCTGCTTCTTTAATAAATAGGAAAAACCAGCTTTCTAAATATTATACTCAATTACTTCCTATCAACCAAGAAAGTAGTCTGTGCAGAGCCACACACTGACTAAAAAAAGATATGCAAAAACAATATCTTATTTTACCTGTGCAGTGCCTGTAAACTGGTACAAGTGAATCATTTAAACAGTAAAACCCAGAAGTTTAGAAAAAAAAAAAAACTGTAAATGAACCTTGGTAGAAGAAACTTTCTTGGACACAATTCTTCATTAGCTTGAAGGATAAGTCTCTGAGGAGATTCTGTCCTGGCTTTTTCAAGCCAATTTCTACCCTATTGAACACAAAAAGATTATTTTAATGCACAGTAAGAAAAGTTAAAGCAAACAGGTACACTTCTACATTGTTTACCTTTTTTGTAAGAGTGTAAATCTTTATATATTTATTCTGCCCAGGAACATCTATCAAGTACCCCTCAGTTACGAGCTGCCGGGAAAAAGCCTTCCACCAACTCTCTGTTTGATCCTTGCCAGTACCAAAGAAACTGTGAGTGCGGTATTGATCAAGACGCTGGGAATTCTGAAATTAGGAATAACATCAACAGCTAAGAGTTTTTATTCAATTAAACAAGATAAGTACAACACAAAACTGTGTACTGATTCTTTGGACTTGATACCAAATTTTAGCTTTAAACACCTACAGATAGATATTTTATGCCCATTCTGCTTGCTCTGAATACTTAAGTCACAAATAAATATATAATCCAAATAGTCTTTTGTGTTTTAAATAATGGCAAGAAATTTCACGTATAATCCCATGTATTTCCCAATGCATAGGTCTGGATATGTCTGTAACAGTTAATCATTTTTATTTGGACCTTTTATTAGCATCCTCACACTGATGTCTGAAAACTGTGGTCAGAATTCACAGCACAAGACTAGCAGCCTGAGCGCTAAAGGCAGTAAGACCCAATAGCTAGTACCGGTGAGTGCAGTGCAAGAACTCAGAGTTCCCATGGCATGGCTGTTTTTCCTGTGCTTCTGTTCATGATGCACTGTAACACTTAACCATTTCTCATTCTGCAGCTTCACTGCATTATACCCGGAAAAGCAGGTCTGTGCTGAATGACTGCTGCTTTTGAGATTCTGATTCGCAGCCATCCAGGTCTAGAAATGTTGGGGAAGCTCGTCTGTCATATGCAATTTTCATGTCCTCTCATGGAGATGATTCTCCCCACCTTCACTCTCTATAAACTACTTTCTCATTCATTTTACCCTCTTACTACCTCGTTTGTTCATCCTACACATTTAAATATTACTTTGACATGTAGAAAGCAGTATTCGAATACAGGGCTATATGGAAAATGGCTCCTATGTAGTGTATTTGTGGTGAATACAGCAGATTGTAATTCAGGGGTCATTCTAACCATCAGCTACGGTAATTTCCACTAAAAAATCTGGGAAGTCACAAACATTTCTCAAGCTCTCTTTCAGTTACAGTTCCAGATATGATTTAACTTCCATGAATTGGAGGAATTTTTACATTTTACATGTATAGGCAGGAAATGAGGCAAGACTACTACTCCTCTGCTAGTTTTACAGGTATGCAGGATTGTGGAGGTGTTTGTTTTTTATGAGAAAGTGTCAGTGAAGAACCCAGCATGCAATTACTAGCTTCCTAAGTATCAACAGGGGTCCATTTTTTGGATTCAGATTATAGCAAGTGCAAAGTGGTTACCGGAACAAGCAGAGGCAGAACCTTCTTGATCGATACATCCCCCTCTGGTGCAGTTTGGGATCTGGTGCTATAGTGGCAGCTTCCCAAATCAGCAGATAGCTTCCCTATCACAGAAGAGGCAGCAGCTTTCCTGGTGGACTATTCTGCAGTATAATCTTATCACAATACTATAAGCTATTTAATATCCCATAATAACTACCTTTCTGCTTAAAGTACTTAAGAGTGACTACGCGCTTTCTAATACAAATACTGCATTTTAGGTTATATCCCTATTTCAAAAACATTTGTCCCTTGAATATGTCAAGGGGTTATCACTATGAAATGCAGTGTCAAATTTTAGAAACTAGCACAGCTTGTCATTCAGTATTTTTACACTGCATCTGTATTCCAATGAAGGGTTAACAATCAATGCATATAAAAAATCTAGGGATCAAAAATCAAAAGAATTTACAGGATGACTTCCAGCAGACATAACTCAGGCTCTAGTAGGCTCTCTATTATGAATATATTGGCTTCACGCAACTGAAGAGAATGTTAGGCTACAAGTTTATCATTTTGGAATGCTAAAAATGTGAATACAAGCAAAATAGTCTGAATACCCCTGATCTTTCACACAAGGGAAATCTAGGCTAAAATTAGATTAAGTTATGATAAATTCCCATCAGAGACACATCAGTGCCTAGACACTGAGCTTAAAACATAGGCTTCTAATAGGGTTAGTTAACAGTGTCTGTAAGATGTGTTCTGTTCCTCGAAAAAAATAAAATTAGAAATAGAGTTCTTATTAGAACAGCAAGTAATGGGCTTTAGTATGATTATATTTGCAAAAGTTTTATTAGAAGAACAAGATTTAGAGAAATATAAACACCCACGTACAAATGGCACCTTTTCCATTGTTAATAATACCTACCTATGCTAATTGATTTGGGGTTGATTTGACTATAATGTTGAAAATCAAACTTCACAGAATTCACAGTTGGACACTGGAGCTCTTTGATCTACATAGTCAGTTTTGGACCATGTTGCTAACGGATAATTAGAGTCTCAGAGATGTTAAGTGGTAGCCTAAGGTCCTGGAGCTAGGACTAGAACACTGTCCCAGGGCACTAGTTCTAATCTTTCACTATGATACCACGTGAGCGCACACAAAGACCCTAACATATACGTATATACATACATACACACATACATACACGCTGACTGAACTTAGTGCAGCAAGACCACTGTGGCTCCAGTCCTGGCTCTGGTGCTTGCCAGTTTTCTCACTTCGGGCAAAGTTACTTCTCTGTGCTTCTATTTTTTCAGCTGCTATAAGAGCACAGTAACTGTTTCCATCTCTGGGGGACGTTGCAAAGACTGAGTAACCAGGACAGAGCCTAAGTCAGTAATATTAACTTTCTTTTAATCAGGTAACAGCTGATCCTTAAATCAACCTGAATTTCTTAATCTACAAGCAAGAGCTGTGACAATATCTAGTCAGTTTTCCCTCAGCACTTGTGATGGCCCTCTCCACCCGCTAGGGGCTTACCTTGGTCGCAGGAGATTCCACCACTTGCAGACTAGTAACTAAAGGTATTAAGTTGCCTAACTAGTATTTACTAGCAACCTGGACACTGAAAATCATTCCTCAAGCCTTTCTTTTCATAAGCAGAAAAAAACCTAAAGGGAATGAACACTCTAGTATGAAGCAATGAGGTTTTTTTCTAATCAGTAGGGAGCAACTGCCCCTTCTCCTCATGATCAATAATCACTGTGAAAACTGTGCACAGTGTGAATAAATTTATAGTCTTGTTTCCATGGTGATCACCATAAGCAGAAAGTTGATATAGGGTTTGGGGCAGTGGTTTTTAAGGAGGGCACAATTTTACACATACATCCCTTTCCAATCACAAACTTTCATTCCAGTATCTCTAGATCATTCAACCTAAAAAATAATAATTTAAAACAGCATGTGAACTGCATAATAAATAGAAAAAGAATTAGAATCACACTCAGGAAAGCTGCTTGCTCATCCTGATGCTGGCACAAAGTAACAGTATGACCTTGGGCAGGTCATTTATCTTTCTGGGACTCAGTATCAATTGTCAGTTGACACTGTCAATTAAGGTAACAGGTTGAACAGTCTTTTTGCTCTAATGGCTATAATTCCATGGGATACACTCAAAAAGGGAAATTATCATCTCATTCTTTTCCTTTAAAAATCAAGTTGAGAAAATAAAGAGCACCAAACTGGTATATCAAGGGATATGGAAACCTACTAATTGATGGTATGTGTTAGAATAAAGAGCACAGACTGATGAGAGCACAGGACTCAAATTACCACTTTGTGTTAACAAAAAATCTTTGCAACATTATCTCATAGAGAAAACAAACAAGACTGCCACTCCCCCGAATTAACTTCTTTAAAAATCACAATTGCTTTTTGTGGTTATTCTTTCTGCTGGGAATGCCGCATTCCCACCGCCCCTTCTCCCCACACTCCATCTCTAAATGTCAAACTCTACTACTGTACTGCCCCAAAAACAGCTCCAGTGACACCGTCACAAAGACTAATTTCCCAGCTGATAACAAGCACTCTCTCTTCGAACTTCACACTTTACCTACAGCTGTCATGTGTCCTTCACGTTACACCACACTTCTCTCCTCCCAAATAGCACCTTCCATACTAGATTGAAAGTTTCATCTAATACAGCTTGGGGTTCCCCACAGAACAGTAGAGTACCTCACACAGTGGAAAAATTAGTGATGAACACTAACTCAAGACACTTTAAACCCTGTGTTCTTAAAGTACAAAACAAACCCCTACTTTCTGTTTATATTTTAACGAATTTCATTTTCTTTTGTCTCTTTGCCATTTCCTATAGGCCAAAGAAGCTCACAGCTGCCACTTCAGGGCTTAATAGTCATTTTTGGAGCAGTATTCTCAGTGCAAAATAAAATCAAAAGATAAAGTAACGATAATTATCTCTAGGAATATTTTTCAATCAGACAAACTAGCTTATCTGGAAAATGAGATGGATACCCTCTCCTGATAGACAGATAGACAATTATAAAGGGTGATTAAAACTACCAACAGTTTTCCAGTGGCTGCCCATAGTCAAACATCTTTTATCAAAAGTGTTATCTAATTCTAGAGACATGATAAGGTTTAGCACTTTAATAATGTGATTAGGAAAGAGGCTTCACTAATCTCCTGGTTATACATATTAATGACTATGTTTCTGCTTTCCAATCTATAAAATTAGGATAAATGCATCTCTTAGCACTTACTCATAGAGTGCTTAAAGATATTTATGGGGTGAGCTCTTTAGACAACTAAAACAAAGTTCTTCAGGCAACATTTCTACTATTCAATTTCTAACTAAGCTTGTAGCTGAAAAGCAAAATTTTAAACTCCATTCACAAATATCTAGATGGGTTGCATAACTGTTTATACTACTTAAGAAAATCTTGTCTAAGAAAGGAGAATCATGTGCGTCTGAAGTTATATTTGTTATATATATATATACACACACACACACACAAATATTATCTCTTTGAATAAACTCCAAGAGTTTCCAGTTTAAGATCTTACAGATCAAAATTATCTACAAAGATATTAATTTTTCCTAAATTAGTTAAGGTGGACAACTTACTAAATTCCCAAAGGAATTACAATTTCTACAATAGCATCCCAGTAGATACTAAGGTCACTGAAATGGAGGGGGGGAAAAAAACTTGCCTTATTTGTACTGTAGTTAAGGTCTATAAATTCTTATTAAGTGGTACTTTTAAAAAAGTTTTACACCTTTGGCTAGCAAGGGTGGTATAAAATTTCACAAAGAATAAACTTCTTAATTTGAGGGCTCCCAGAAGAGACTGTCAGTATAAGTGGTCTGACTTGGTTTTCAAATAATAGGTGAAATTTGATCCCTCTGTGACCAGTTCAGGTTTGTCTAGGAGCCCACTTATACTTGCTGTTGATATTGGATACTACTGGATTATACCAAATTAGTACAGGGACAATTTTTATAAATTATACATTCAACTGGGATACACAGGTTTTGAAGATGACAGAGACAGAAGACATTTTCATAGATCTCAATTATATTTAACATATCCCTTGCAACTTAAATTTTTTTTATAATAAAATAGTATTTTTTTATAATAAAATAGTAGGCTAAGACCAAGTTTTGAGGCTTCACAATTATTAAATTTCTAGTTAAACTTGTGATTTGAAAGCAAAATTTAAAACTCTACTCGGAATTTTAAAAAAATCAGTACCTGAAAAGTTGGCATGTTTTCAATGTATTTCATTAAAAATATTTCACATCTAATTTAATGTTCCTTTCTAACCAAAATCAAAATTCAGAAAGTAAATATTTACATGAAGCATTTGAGTATTTAACAAATTGCTTACCTAAATTATTTTGAAATTCTACATACAAAGAGAGAATTTTAATTTCTACTTTTACATGTTTTTACTAAATACACATATTTGCAAAGGATTCTGTCTCCCACTTTTGGTTTATTGAACTTATATCAATATAAAAAGCTTAGCTTTGCTTAAGGAATTAGGGGTAAAATCATATAAATAAAAGAACTACAGAAAACCTCTTTAATTATAAGTGCCATGACTTATGCATATTGTACCTGCAATTGTTAGCATAATGTTGGCACACTAATCACCCCAAAGAAGAAAAAAACAAAAAAATGGCAGCTGAATGGACTTTCACTGGTAAAGTAAAAAAAAACAAAAACAAAAAAAATTTCTTGGAATTTTAAGCCTTGATAAAAAAACAGAATGGAAGGAAAAGAAAAAATATACTGCCAAATACTGTTACAGAACTTAGGCACTTACAAGTAATCACTAAAATTAAAGTTTTGCTCAAAGAATTTACTACTTTTTAAGGCACCAAAATACACAATTTTTTTCTGCTTGTCCCTTGACACAATGAAAGTTAACTTTTCTTAATTATCCTAAGAAAAAACCAGGCTAGGGATTCATCTACCTGTAAGGTAATAAACTAATAACAGTGCTTCCAGACTGAGGGGCAGAGATGAGCATCAGCTTGGAACATGAAAACAGCAGTGGATGTAATACACGCAGGTTTTGTCAGAAGTAATGATTGCCGTGCTTAACTGGAAGTTAACACAATTCTCTGAGTTTCTAAAAGCTCATCTAAAGCCAAAGCCACAACTGTAATACAATAAACCTTTGTTTACTGTAACAGGAGTAAAACAAGAACTACAAAGGTGATTCACGGATATACTTACAGATCCTCGGAGAAATAAAATCGGAACCCCAATTCCAAACTTTTCTCCTAAGATGCTCACAGCAGATAAGAGCTGGAATGCTTGTTGACCAAAGTCCTGTGACATATCTTCTGAGTCATCAATGGAAAGGCATTGATACAATCTGAATAAAAAAAATGTTAGAAAGCTTAGCCAAGACGTGATACCATCCTATAGCTTATCACTTGTTTCATTGCTTTTACCAATAACTAAAAATTACATCACTCTTTTTTGTTGATTTCTTCAAGCTATTGGGCCAATTTGTGCTTTATGTATTTGTAGGGTTTTGTTTGTTTGTTTCACATGCATAAAACAATTCTGTCCTCTTGGCAAAAGAACCAATTATTACCAAATAGAGAACATCTCCACCTCTGAGAATACTTCTTCTGCCTAACAGTAATACAGTTACCACACCTAGGTACACAGTTAACTAGGTATATGATCTTTTTTTTTTTTTTCAATTAACATGCAGTTAAATTGTGTGTGAAACTACAAATTTAAGCACATCAGCTGATTATTCATTTGTACAGATTCATTAAACCACCACCACTACAATCAGGACACACAAATCCATCACAAGACAATACTTCCTTGTGTTATTCCTTTGAAACCATACGCGTCTCTGGCAACCACTGATCTTTCCTTCAACCCTATAGAATAGGCTTGTGTTTGAGAGAATGTATACATAGAATCATATGTAGAACTGGCATTATTTCTCCTTTTAAATGTTTGGTAGAATTTGCCACTGAAACCATTTGAGCCAGGGAATTTTGTTTTCAGAGGTTTTTAACAAGGGTCTCATCCAATTTCTTTAACACTTGTAGGACTATTCAGGTTATCGATTTCACTGTGGGTGAGTTTTCCTAGTTGAGTGATCAAGGAATTGGTCCATTTCATCCATTACTGAATGTATGTGCACTGAGTTATTTAGTGCTTCCTCAGCCTTTTAATGTCTGTTGGGCCTACAGTGCAATTCTTCTTTCATCCTGATGTTGGTAATCTATGTCTCCTTTTTTTTCTTGTTAGAAGTCTCTATCAATTTTATTGAACTTTTCAAAGAATGAGCTTTTGAGTTAACTGGTTTTCTCTTGAGTTTAGTCTCCTGTTTTCCATTTCATTGATTTATGCTCTTCTCTACTTTATTTTCTTCTATTTTTAGTTTGCTCTTATTTGACACTTAAGATAGAGTCTTAATCTTAATTACTGATCTGAAACCTTTTTTCTATGCTAAGTATTTAATGCTCTAAATTTCCTTCTTAGTATTGCTTTAACTGCATGCCCTACATTTTATATTTCCATTTCATTCACTTCAAAATATTTTCTGATTTACCTTGAGACTTACCCTTTAACTCATGGATTATTTGATACTGTGTTATTTAATTTCCCAGTGTTTGAAGACTTTATTAGTTCTGATATTGATTTCTAGTTTAATTCCGTTATAGCAAAACAATATAGCCTGTATGAATACAATTCTTTTAAATATTTGTTAAGGTTTGTTTCAGAACCCATAATATGGTCTGTGTGAATGTTCCATCTGTACCTGAAAAGAATATATATTCTGCTATTGTTGAATTTTCTATAAAAGTTAATAAGACCCAGTTTGTTGATAGTCCTATTCATTTCTTCTTTTTACTAATTTTCTATTAATTACTCAGAAAGATGTTGAAGTCACCAACTGGATTTGTGAATTTCTTTCTCCTTTCATTCCATCAGTTCTTTTAAGTATATACACATTTAAGATTATGTGTTGTTTGATATGATATATCAAATTTACTGAGGCTATGGTACCCAGGTGTTTGCTCAAACATTAAACTAGATGTTTGCTATAAAAGTATTTCATAGATGGGATTAACATTTACAATCAGTTGACTTTAAGTAAGGGACATTACCCTTGATAATGTGAATGTTTCTCATTCAATCATATGATGGCCTTAAAGAACAAAGACCAAGGTCTGCTGCAAGACAAGTTGTGACTCATAACTGTTAACACAGAAATTCTCCCCCATTTTCCAGACTGCCAGATTTCAGATTTCAGATCTGCTAATCCCTACAAATGCAGGAGCCAATTCCTTAAAAACCAGTCTCCTTTTATTTACTGTTTATCTATGTGTATATATGTGTGTGTTTCTCTGGAGAACCTTGACTGATACATTGGTAAAATGACCCTTTTATTATCATGTTAGTAAAATTCTTTTCCCAATGTCTTCATTGTCCAATATTAAAATAACTCCAGTTTTTGATTAGTGTTTTATGGTATATAATTTTTACCCTTTTATTTTTAATCTACCTATGTAATATACCTGTAGTGGATTTCTTATTGACAGTATATAGTTGCATCATATTTTTTAAACCAATTCTAACAATGTCTGCCTTTGAATGGTGTTTACAGACCTTTTGCATTTAATGTAACTATTGATATATCAAGCCTACAGCACAATATGCCAATATTGTTTGCTTTGTCTTATATTTAAATAAATTCATTATTTTTTTAAACTGGAATACATATCATTCAAAAAAAATTGGATCTAAAGTTATTTGAAAAGGAAATGAAATAAAGACTTTTGGGAAGTCCATCTAGAAGAAGAAATTTTTACCTGGACCTGCAATTATCACAGCATTTTTCAGTTCCCGTAATACCCACAGAGGCCTTTCGTAGTTGTTTGTCTTCAAAATGAGACAGGATGATTCTACCCAAGAGAAAATTTAAAATTAAATAAAAGAACAAAAATGTACATGTTAAATTCATTGCTAAAAATAATGAGGAGCAATCATCATTAATTGATTCATCTGGGACCTCATTATTTGGCTTCAGTTTACTAAGGCACAAAGAAAGTTACCTTAAATAAATCTAGCACATATGTAACACCAACAAAATATTGCTTCTAAATATTTCTAATTATTTTGCAAAACTTTCTTCTTAAAAGAGCACCATCCATAAACTCATGTCACTAACTGATATAAAATAAAGAATACATACTGTCGCCTACACCTGCTGGAATGAAGATATGTTTCCATCTTTGCCATCATCCTTAATTTGTATAATCGAAACTTTTCGTTGTGTATCTCACTAAGGAGGTGCCTGACAATTAAAAATATCACAGGAATACATAAAATTGCATTAATAACTTTGTTATTTACTACTGTTTACTTTCTATAACCTGTAACAACCACACCCTTATAAAGATAAATAACCTTTTATCATCCCAGAAAGTTACTGTGTCCCTTTCTAGTCAATGCCTCCCATAAGACTCAAGCATTTTTCTGATTTTTATGAAAATTACTTTTCAAAGAATTCTACCTGTATCCAAGCATCAAATTTTTAGCTGCCTTTGAAAAATTATTATAAACCTGGAATTTTTCTCATTTTGGTTTATATGCTACATGTTTTTTAACTCCTTTTTCCACTACATATGTATTTTTACCTTTTCCCAGTAAAAGGTTATTTTTTATTGTGCTTATTTTATATAAGAACTGAAAGCACCTATGTAATGAATACAAGAGGCTCATGGCCAAATGAGTCTGCATCCCTATTAGCTCTTCAGAGGACTTCTCAGCCCTCTAAAACTATCCCTTTGCATTACAAGGCATTACAGGACACCAGTAAAGTATTAGAATTAAGTTCCATCCCCAAACAATTATAACTGATTTCCCCCACCCCGACGTAACCTGAATTTAGTTAAATTTGTTAAAGAACTCTAAAGACATGTTCATTCTGACTCTGTTAATTCTAGTCTTCTGTGAAGAAATTCCATGAATATCAGATATCAGATAATAATCTCCCAAATATCTTTATACATCCTTTCAAAATTTTCATCGAAACAGACCTCAAACACCATTTTGACCGTCCAACCTTTCACCTGATAAAAATACCTACGTACAATTCTCAAGGGTGATGCCAACCGGGAATCCAGTTGAGTGAGTTCTGGAAAGTCTGAACACACAAATGACCTCTTCTTCAAAATCATCCATATCATTTGGCACCACTGACCACCAGGCTCTCCCACAGAACTTCCCTGAAAGTCTCTTCCAGCTGCTGACTCCCACAGTAACCATCTAATCTCATTTTTCTTAGCTCAACAGCTAAAAATTACTTGCTTTTTTGCTTTGTTTAGCTCGCCTTCTCCTCAGAAAAAGCAAAGAAAACAAATCTAAGAACTAGATCCTCCTTCTATTTGCTTCAGATGACCTATCTATATATAACACATCTTTTCAGTGTCAGTAACAAATTTGAAACATAAAATGACAATTCTCTAAACAGCAAATTAAATGAGTATTTATTCTTCTTCTGGAGCTATTAAAATAGTTAAAGTACAATATTCCACAGAATAAAAACAAGTTCAAAAAAATTCTAAAAGCAATATAATAGAAATCAGAAATAGTAGAAAGTTTATTGAGATCAATTTGCAAATTATTCCCTTTAAAAAATATTACAATAACTATTGGGTTTGACTGTGTGAAATAACAGCAAATGGAGACATTGAGACTTTGCCAGTGGTATGGCTTCTACAATAAGTATGAAATGACTTATTTATACTGATGAGTGGACATGTTTCTTCTCTCAGTTATAGTGTTCTAATACAGGATAGACTAAAATTTTTGTGAATTACAGTGACCTTTTCAGTTGAGAATGAACAACTCAATTTATTCTAAAACTTTGTTTTTTTATAACAAGTTTGTCACAAGGATGATACAGATCTGTCCTCAATCCTTGAAGAATTCTTTTTTATCCTGATTAACCCTACAGTTTTACTCTCCTTAGGATGGATGCAAAGAACAACCTCTCTATACTAAAATTCAAGTACGGGTTTTCTAGCACCACTATTGGGTTACCAATCATGGCTGCTTCCTGTTAAATCTTAATGAGATAACCATTTAAAATGTATTTTGAGACTCAGATAAACAGGAACTGTGTCTGTTGATAAAGCTGCAAAGCCACAATATTAAGATGGGCTATTAAGTCTTCAGCACATTTAGCATAATGCACAAATAAAATCAGAGGGGAGATTTGATAATATGGGTGAATGTTGAAACCACAATGTTGCTCATGTGAAACCTTCATAAGATTATATATCAATGATACCTTAATTTAAAAAAATGAAAAAAAAATCAGAACTGGTAAGAATTAACATATATTTGATACAATCCCATATTTAATAGTAGCATGCCGACCTATATTCTAGCCCAATTATTTTAATTTATAAAAAGCTTTATATATCAAAAGGAAAACAATAATTGTTCTACTGAAGAGGATGGTTTTACTGACTATGTTAGGGAACAAAAGCTACTGGGTACTCTTCAAAGGAAGAGCTTAAAATCTATAGCAAACATTTTTACCTAATTAATCCCAATTCTTCTTCAGATCTCAATTTTCCCTATCGCTTCCTGAGGAAAGACTTACCTTAACTTTTTAAAACTTGGTAAACACATGCCTCATTATATTCTCACTATTCAACGCAACTTCCCTTCATAGCACTTAACACAGTCACAACTTTACACATATTTGAAGGATCGTTTCATTTAAAATTTTTTTATTGAGATTTTCAAACACAAAAAGTAATGTGAACTCAAATGTATTCATAGTTGAGTGATTCTGTGCTCAAGGTCTGCCATTCAGTATACTGTAGCCTCTATAAAAACAGGTTCAGTATCTGTGTTGAATCCCAACACAGAGCATAATGCTTGGAACATGGTGGGCACTCAAAAACAAAACAAAATAAAATGGCTGAGTGGTGAATAAAAATAAAAACTGTATGACTGTATGAGATAAACATTCTCATCATTTTAACAGAATGGGCTAATATGTCCACTTAAGAGTCAATGCATTCAGCTACACGGAGGTGTATTTTGAAAATACCTCACCTTGGAGGCTCATCACTTACCACGTATGTTTGTTTCCTGAGCTTCTTCCCCACTATGGATAAGGGAATCAGCTACTAAACTGCCCCTAACATTTTTGGAAGATGAAGTTTTCCTTTCCAGTATAATCTCAAAGAACTTACACCCTAACAAGAACTTGTTTAGTACTTAAGTAGACTAGATTTTCCTGTATTTAACACTGAACATGTAATTTTTTTTCATGGCCGTCAATCAGTACAGTGCAATATGATTACTCAGTCAAGGACAGCTGGCCTGCCTTCAGAGAACAGGGAAACACATGGTGAAGACAACCAGGCAGGGACTGGTGGAGGTCATCTGGAATGAGCACCACTATCGTCAAGAAAGAAAGAGCCAGTAACAAAACAAATGGTATCTGAAGGAATTTGGGCTGAAAACATGTTAAAACTTAAGAGGACATGAGGAAATAAAAACAGCTCATAGATGCACAATATTGGAAAAACATTCCACTGGATCTGTTACATTCCCAGTGTAGTTCTGATTTAGTTAATTAATCCCTTACAGGAAATGAGGTGTGGCTGTAACTAGGTCACTTCCTCTATGGGGCAACACGTACCACAAATGTTCTTCCTGGATGTCCTGTTTTGGTTTGGGTTTAAATGCACTTATCGACATTAATTGAAATTTTGGGTGCTGCCTCAAATACTTTCAAGGCTTATCTGCAAGGATGAAAGCAAAAATGTTTTTACCTGTTTAAGTTAATGTCTGCTGGAGCCCAGAGTAGGTGACAAGAACTTTGGAGTCCATCACGGCCAGCTCTACCAATCTCCTGGTAGTATGATTCCATTTCCTTAGGAGCACCATAATGAATGACTTTGCGAATGTCAGCTTTATTAATGCCCATTCCAAAAGCTATGGTAGCTATGACACACTAAGAATAAACAACAACATAGTTTGACATTTACCTACTAAAATCTTGTATTTTTTTCCTTTGATAAGAATCATTAGCTAACGTCCCAGGCATGACTGAAACTTTAATTTTGACCAATCACTTACAGATTAAGAGATCATCTGCCCAGTTTACAGATGAAGGATTAGTGACCATAAAGTAGGATTTCTTCTCCCTTTCTATAGAAAACAGCAAATAAAGTAGTTTCTCTGAACACTTATAAGCACAACACACATAAAAGACTCTTTAAAATATTTTATTCTATCAAATGAGATTTTTGTGTTAATCTGAAGTTTCAAGAGTCCTTATTGGACTGCACAGTATCTTAATATTTTCTAGCATTATTATAAGGTGGAGGAAAGCTTCTCATTACAGATCATAAAAATGGAACATGAATTTATCTCTGCATCTGCAAAAGGATAAAATTGGTAGAGTATCTAATATGCATGCATAACTGGGATGAGATTCACATGACTGGAGGAAATTTTAGGGAAGAATTTTTGATAAGAACACAAAAAACCAACACAATTTTTGAAAGTATTAACAGAAAGAATAAAAGAAGATGTGCAAGAAAAGTAACTGGAGTATACTACATGGCATGGAGATAAAAAAGCATTTACAGAGAAATAATTACATAAATATATAATATTTGAATATAGATGATCTATCCAAAATTATGATAGTAATGTTAGGAGGAAAGGGGCCTAGAAATACATGGATGGAGGAGAAGGGCAGGAAGGGAGGTGCAATAGTTACACTTTTATCTTTCAGAGGGAACGCAACAGATAATGCCTAAAATGATTAGACAAATATATAAGAAACTAAGAAGTAGCAGTATAAACAAATTATTACAAGATACAGAGTAGTAAACACCAACAGAATAAACAACAAGAGTTGGGACAGGCAAAGAGAAGTGGGGAAGGAATGAGGGGTTGATGCTTTCCACTCTAAGCACTGGGAACTATTTTGGTTCTTCAAACCATGTGTGTGCATAACTGATGAAACTAAAGTGCCATTAAAAAAAAAAAACTAAAGTGTCATTAAAGCACCTGTTAAGATGGACCAACAGTAGCAAAATAAGAAAGAAGGAAAGAAAAAAGAAAATGCTGAACAAATAAAAGGAAGTATAAAAATGTTGAGAAAAAAACAAATAATAGAAACGGAAATGTATTAAGAAAAAGCTTTGAGCAACATCAGACTATTTTGTTATATTTAAGAATGAATGAGCAACATAATTCTAATTTTCTTTTGTCATGTACTTTCTTAGTTTTTTCCAGCCTTATTGAGATACAATTGACATATAATATTGTATAAACATAAAATGTGATGATTTGATATACATATATATTGTGAAGTGATCACTACCTCACAGTTACTATTTGTGGTGTGTGTGTGTGTGTGTGTGTGTGTGTGTGTGTGTAGGTGTGTGTTGTGTGTGTACACGTATGTGTGTGATGAGAACATTTAGATCTAATTTTCATTACATGATAGTTTTTAGATGAGATCATCCTATTCTACAGACATTAATTTTCAAAATATCCTTATCAACTCAGTTGAAAATACGTATTTATCAAATAATTTATTCACAACCTCATTCCAGAAAGGGAAGGAATTCAAGCCATCTTACAAAGGCAAATAAAAAACAAAAGGACATAAAAATCAGAATTAAAAGAATGGTCACAGACTAAAATGCAAATCTACATCTGAATGTAGTTAGATTTGATTATGAATAAGAAAATTTTGTTCTCTAAAAGTGTAAAATAGGAAATACTAAGATTCTAAGTATCACTGAATCCTAGACATTAAAATCTAGGAAGGTAAGCTAGGGAAGTCAGCTCTACTTTTAGGTCCATACTCAAGTAAAAATCAGCTGTAAAAAAGATAGGAGAGTGAATGTCTACAATTCTGTACATGATCTATTCAGTAGGCACTCAATAAATACTCAATAGCAAATATTCAATTCCAAGAGCATCAGACTATTCTACATAGATAAAGAAATGTATTTTCATAATCTTGAGAAGGTGTCTGAGGACTCTCAATGCAAATGTGAAGCTTTTAAATTATTTATAATGGCAAAGAAGGAGTACACTGGGGCAGCTATCAGATAAAACTACCTGATGTCAGCCTAGGTGACACAATCAATACTGATTTACTACTTTGCATAATGTGGACAGAAGTTTGTGACATCCTGCCACAGAAAGGGAAAACACAGCAGCACATACATACATATGCCCTTCTAGATATTAGATACAATTACTGTGAGGTTTTTAGAGTGATATTTCAAAGCACTGATGTTTGATGAAGCTGTATGCTGGTAGGAAAACCAGACGCACCCAGCAAAGTCCCTATCACAAGAGAACAGAGATAAAGTCTGTGCAGGTGGGGGAGGTGGATATCTCTGTCTAACGGGGGGATATCTCTATCTAAACAAATGATGGGTAATATGTCAAGACAGACAGAAGAAACCACTGGTCAGTTAATCACTCCAATATTCATCATTAAGATTCAGTAAGCAGAAACTAATCATTTTTATCCAATGATTTTTAAGGTCCTGAGATGACAGAATAAAAATGTAAATATTTAAGAACTGGGGTAAAAACTAGGCAGTTGTCATAGCTGTTCCTATCTTTGGAAAGAACTGATACTTACAACAGGTATGCGTTACAGCACACAACACATAGTGAACTTTCAGACAATGGGGTGGTGAACAATTATGGGTAATAGGGAGCACTGGACAGAGAGTAAATGGATGGATGACCAATTGGACAGAAAATGCAAAGCAGAAGAATAAGTTCATCTCAACTTGAGAGGAGGACTCTCCACAGGCTCACAGTGGCAGTGTTGGTAGGATGCTGACAGTGGAAAGTTGCTGATTCAAACCTACGAATGTGGCCTTAATTTACATCTCGAATATTCTGTATGACACCCGTTGAACCAAGATTACAACCATGACAAACTGGAACTATTACATGATTCCAATCATTAGAGGAATCTCAGCTGGAGCACTTTACAATAACTTCATTGATATCTTTCCCTTCTTCAGTTTTTCTCAAATCAATCTACTTAGCGCTGCTGGAATAATGTTTCTGTAATACTATTATCCTGCTCAAAAACACAGAACAGTCGGTCATGATGGTTTTTGAACTCTCTTCTGTGTTCCCAGGATTCTAATGCTCACAGGAACTATCCAGGAGACAGGGATGCTCTTGGACCCCTTTCTCCCTCACATAACTTAAACAAGATCATTCTACTTTATTCTGTTTTACCTATTCAATAAAATTTCATTTGAATAAAAAATTCTAAGGCTCAAGTGGTCTCGAAAAAGAAGCACATCACCTCTTTGCAAGTTTGAAGGCCCTCTAGAACTTGGCCAACCAACCCATTCGGCTTTTCTCTAACACCCTGCCTTTTCACCTGTACTTTGTCCACTCCTACTCCACACTCTCTTTCTCTACAAGCATCCCAAACTGCTCACAATTTCCTGAACCCACTATGTACTCTCGTATCACAGTGACTTTGCACGTACTAGTTCTTCTTCCTAGAATCAATAATCAATTCCTTTTCCCTCACTGCCTACTTGCCTTGCATACTTGACAAACTGCTATTCAGTTGTTCAGACTCTACTCAAATTGCTTCCTCCTGGATGGACATTGACCATTACACGACCTACCTTTACCAGCTAGCGTTCCCTCCTCTGTGCGCCTGAGCAATAGGTACAGCCTGTTATTTTCTACTAGTCTACAATCACTTGTTCACCTCCCTACCTCCTATATTAACCCCTGCTTCCCCTTACTACCGGGACTGCTTCATGCTCAACACAAAGAAGATACTCAATAAAGATTTATTTGGTAAACAAATATTGGAGAAATATGTTTCCACTATGGAATAGAGAGTAATGATGAAGGAACTTCACACCTGAATTTCATCTCTCATGAACTGATGATGAACTTCTTTCCTTAAATTAATATGCATGCCTGCGTGGTACGTTCCACAGGCTAACTTCAGGGTCTTAAGTTCAGCTGTAACTTTTTCTGTCATTTTTCTGGAAGGACAATAGATGATAGTCGGCCCTTCAAGTTCCCACGCAGAACTAAAGAAAGAGAAGAACAAAAGACAAATATGTATATATTGTACATCAGTTTGGTTTTATCTTAATTTTCCCTTTATTTTTAAAATTTTAATTTGATTTCATTTTATTTAAATTTTTTTCTAGTAAGAAATCAAAAGGAGAAAGCACAAAGAAAAACCATGATATATTTAACAACATAAAAATCTAAAACATTAAGGAAAGTCAAATGCAGAAATAGATTAAATTATTAAACCCCATATACATTTGACCCAGTTTTTGTTGAAATTACAGTTAACACCAGATCAAGTGTGTTTATTTAAGCAGAAAAATTGATTAAAACTTATAAACTACTGGAAATGGAATTTTTATATTTTTGGAAATTCAAAGCACTAGAATAACAATTAGTCTTCATTTACCTAAGAAAGATGAGTGAACATTAACCTAGAGCAATGGATAAAATTTATATTGTTTTTATTCCCCTATGATCATAAATTAAAATTCTATACTGTTTACTAAAAAAAGCAAGAAATTTCTTGTAATATTAAAATATTGTTTTTATAGTTTGAAGTATTTAACTAGTAATCTTCAGACTACAACTAATATAGAAAACAACATCTGTTAGAAAATGTTTTAGAAACCTGTGCTTATTTATTAAAAGAGTAAATGATTTCCAAAGAACATTTATTTAATTCCTCAACCTATTCATGTACATAAATATGTTCATTTATGTTAACTTAATATAAAAAGAATGTATTATTTTAGATTTAGGAAAAGTTTTTATTTAACTTTTAATGCATATACCCCTTGATACAATTTCACTAGGAATCTATTTTACAAATATACTTACATACCTGCCAAAAGACACATATATACAAATATTCACAGCAAAAGTATAATACTGAAAAATAATCTAAATGTTCATCATTAAGTACACTCAAACTATGAAATATTAAGCAAACATTTTAAAATTAAATGTATATTAAACCTTTAAGAAGGACTATTGCAAGAATCACTGAAAACTTGAATGCAAAGGAAAAACTGGGCAATAATTTTACTGTAAGAACCTTACTTCATAATCTACTTAAAACAGTTTTTGATAGTGACCAAATGGGGTTCCACATAAAAAATTCAGAGTAGATAACTGTATGAAAAGCATACAAAAAAAATTTTATGTATAAAAGTATCATTTAAAAAACATGTTTCAAAGAAAAATAACTGTTCACCAAAATGTATTTCATATCCTATACATCAAAGCCCTAATTTAAAAAAACCCAATATATGGAAAGGTAGCAAACATAATTTAAATGAAAGGCAAAAATTTCAGAGAAAGTAGATATACTATGAAACAATTTCTGTATAAACAAAAATAAAAACTGGGAGTGCTTACCTGCACAGTACACATAGATTCAGAGAAAAGTCTAGAAAGATATGTGCCAAAATACCAACAATGATGATAACTGAGGAATGGGATTAGAAGATCTGAGTACTCTTCAGTTTACATGCATCTGTATTGTTCAAATTGATGCTAGGACAATGCATCACTTTTTACATTTAAAAAAATAGAAAATACACAAATACTTGAACTTATCAGCAGAAAAATCAATGAAGTACAAATTCCTATTACAATAGGGTTCATTACTTTGCCAAGTAATTTTCTAAAGACTGCTATTTCCTCACAACAATTTCCTGAGGGCGGGGGGTAAAAATCTGTCTTCATCTAACTATTAAGCTAGATAGGGGACAGAGGCTTGCCAATCTAATTTAAATATATTATGAATACAGAAAACAAGTAAGGTCATAGTTTGAAAAATATGTTAGCTTAATGAATAGAAAACGTCAATACTGATCAATTGGGAGAATTAAAGGAAGGGAAGAAAACAGGAACAAAAGGTTTACTCTGAAGTCTTACTTACCCTCCGTCTCATGGCCCACTAAGGGGAAAATGTACTTGCCTAAGATCTATAGAAAGCACGCTGACTCTCCACGGTTCCCTGGCAACCTTTCTGGAAGGGTTGAAAACAAATGCGAAATCTTTCTTGATTTACTTTCAGAAAAAAAAAAACACTGCCACATTAAGTATCAAAATTTTGGATGCTCTTAGATGTTAGGCTAAGAAGTTTGGTCTTTAGTCCATAGGAAAGAGGAGCCACCAGAAAGGAACACCGAGATTCAGGGATGTGCTTACGGATGATAAGCCAGAAAACCGTGTAGAGAATGGAACACAGCACAATGAGGAAGGTTCTGTTAGGAGAAGTTGTAATAAATTGGGCTTAAAAGTAATAAAGACTCAATTAGTAAAATTAACGTGAAAGAGTGGGAAGAAAACATTTACATAAGATACCATAAGTGAACACAATCAGAAAGATAGGATGGCACAATGTCACTAAAAAACAAAAAAAGGAGGAAACTGGGAATTCGGTTTCAGATCACTGCAATAAAGAGAGTCAAACGAATTTTTTGGTTTCCCAGTACAATAAGTTATGTCTACATTACAGCAGTAAGTGTGCAATAATAATAGCATTATGTCTGAAAAACTACATATTTTAATTAAAAAACATTATTACAAAAACCATTAACTATCACCAGAGCTTTTAGCAAGTCTAGTCACTGAGCACAAATCACCTTAACAAATAATGAAAAAGTCTGAGATTTTGCAAGAATTAACACAATGTGGCATAGAGACAGAGGGAGAAGATGCCGTTGCAAAAATGGTGCCAACAGACGTGCTCCACACAGGGTTGCCGCAGACCTTTAATTTGTAAAATACACAATATCTGCAAAGCACATTAAAGCAAAATGAAATAAATTAAGGGATGCCTGGAGAGAGCAACTCTCCCTGAGAACAACCTGAAGACTCACAGTACAGCTCTTCCAAGCTAAGGATATAAAGAAAACACCATATCCAGAATGGTAGGGGATGCAGACACGGTCTGGTTGGGACCCCCACTCCTGGCACCAAAACCAAAAAGTGGGAGGGACATCACCAGTGAAGAGGTCCTCACTGAGGAGCGAGGGGTTCAAGCCCCATCTTGGGCACCCCTGCCACGCAGGCCTGCAGAGGAAAAAGAGCCCTCATAACATCTGGCATTGAAAATCACCAAGGCTTACACTACAGGGGAGCCAGAGAGCTGCAGGGAACCAAGACTCCACTCCTAAATGGGCTGCAAACAAACACACTTGCTACAAAACCCAGCAGAAGGGCAGCAGTTTGAAAAGCACCTGGGTTATACATGAAAGACATTTATTGACTAGCTCTAGGGCATGTGCTGGAGAGGCAGAAATCTGCAGAAATGTTCATGAGGAATAAAAGCACTGCTGGGTGCCATTTTTCTTACCCTGTTTGTACTAGCTGGCACGGTGCTTGTGGACACCACTTCTGATATTCTCCATCTGTCTTGCTCACCCTGCCCCAGCATTTCCTTGCAGACCCACCCCCAGAGGCACCCCTCCAAAGCAGCTCCCACATCATCATACCAGTAGGTATGATGGCACCCCCACAAAGAAACTATCATGGGGGTTGGTGGGTCCAACCCCACCCACCAGCACACCCCCAACAGCTAAAACCAGACCTCTCAGCCAGCCCTAGAAACACCTAGAATAAATTAAATCAACAACAGGAAGGGCCATACTCTGAAAACTTGCTGATGAAAGAAATTGAAGATAATATAAATAAATGGAAAGATACACTGTGCTCAGGGATTGGAAGAATTAATATTGTTAAAATGGCCATCTACCCAAAGCTATCTATAGATTCAATGCAATCCCTATCAAAATAACAATGGCATTTTTCACAGAATTAAAACAAATGATCCTAAATTATGTTCATAATCACAAAAGACCCCAAATAGCCAAAGAACAAAGAACTGGAGGTTATCATGCATGCTCCCTGGTTTCAAATCATACTACAAAACTATAGCAATCAAAACAGTATGGTACTGGCACAAAAACAAACACATAGATCAAGGGATCAGAACAGACAACCCAGAAATAAGCCCATGCTTAAATGGTCAATTCCTATGACAAAAGAGGCAAGAATTTACAATGGCAAAAAGACAGTATCCTCAATAAATGGTGTGAGAAAACTGGGCAGCTACGTGCAAAAGAATGAAACTGGATCACTTTCTTACAACATTTTCAAAAATAAATTCCAAATGGATTAAAGATGTAAATGTAAGACCTGAAACTATAAAACTCCTAAAAGAAAACACTGAAAGTAAACTCTTAGACATTGGTCTTAGAAATGTATTTTTGCTTCTGTCGCCTCAGGCAAGGACAAGAGAAGCAAAAATATTACAATTGGCACTCTTATCAAACTGAAAAGCTTTTGTACTATTCAAAAAGCCATCAATAAAACAAAAAGGCAAGCTACTGAATCTTAGCAATTTATCCAATAAGGAGTTAATATCCAAAATACAGGACCTAAATAGACATTTTTCCAAAGAAGACATACAGATGGACAACAGGCAAATAAAAAGATGTTCAACATCACTTATCATCAGGGCAATGCTAATCAAATCCACAATGAGATATCACCTGTCACCTGTTAGAATGGCCACTATCCAAAAGACAAGAATAATGAGTGCTGGTAAGGATGTAAAGAAAAGGGAACCTTGTGCACTGTTTTCAAGAATGTAAATTGATGCAGCCACTATAGAAAGGAGTATGGAAGTTCCTCAAAATATTCAAAACAGAACTACCATATAATCCAGCAATCCACTTCTGGGTATTTATCCAAAGAAAAAAAAAATACTAATTTGAAAAGATATGTGTACCCCTATGTCACTGCAGGATTATTTACAATAGCCAAGATATTGAAGCAACCTAAGTGTATATGTATACATGTGTGTACATACATATGTACATATAATATTACCCAACCATAAAAAAGAATGAAATCTTGCCATTTGCAACAACATGGATGGACATATGCTAAGTGAAGTAAGTCAGAAGAGGACAATACTGTATGATTTCATTTATATGTAGAATCCAAAAAGCAAAACAAACAAAGCAAAACAGAAACAGAAACAGACTCTTAATACAAAGAACAAACTGGTGGTTCCCAGAGGGGAGTGGAACTGGGACACAGGCAAAATAGGTGAATGGGAAAAAAGGTACACACTTCCAAGTATAAAATAAGTCACAGGGATGTAAAGTAGAGCACAGGGAATGTAGACAAGAACTTGGTGTAGTGACAGATGCTCACTAGACTTACCAGGGTGAACATTTCATAATGTATATAAATGCCCAATTAAAATATTGTACAACTCAAAGTAATATACTATTATATGTCAACTATATATAAATTTTTTTTAAAACACAAACAGTTGCAAAAAGGAGAAGGCTATTAGGGGAAAGTATCATAGAGACTACAAACAGACTGAAAAGCATCAAAGGTTAGGAGAATAAAGATCTGATCTTTCTCTTTTGTGGAGACTACCCTAGAATAAACGGCCTTCTCAAGAGAATGCTTTCCTTACAGGATGGAAGGGAAGCGAAGCACAATGAGCACGCACTTTGGAGAGCTCACTAGAGTGGGGGAACACTGAGAATATATTCACTACACTCTGGTTTTAACAGGAATGTAAGAAAATCAAGCCTATTTTACAATCAAGCAAATTTTACATTTAAATGCATCCTAAAGAACAGGACCTCCTGTAGGGTTTCCTTAACCTAGGATTGATCTTTTCTCTACAACTCTTTCTGAAAAAGAAAACACCAATGGTGTTCTTTAAACTCTATTTGCCTAGGTTTGTTTTGTGTTTGTACTGGTGGGACAAACATTAATTCCATGTATTCTGACTTAAAAACACATTTCATAACATGAAAATTATATGCTTGCCACTGAGCAGACAGCTCAGGGAATAAGGCTCAGGGAAGCTTCTATGCATACATAAAAATTGTCTCCAAACACAATAAACAGGAAATAAATGTACCAGTGACAGTTTCTCCATCAGTAAAATGAAAATAACAGGTAGATTACAGAGCAGTCAGAAGGATTAAATTCGATTACTGACATAAAGCACCTAGGATACTCCCTGGGCACATGATACAGGCTCAAAGGTGTTTACTATTAAGACAACTTTTAAAATTCTCTAATATTCAAATTAGTCATATAATGAGTGAACTAAATAGATTTCAGATTAAAGACTGTTTCTGTTGTTTCCTTGTCAATTATTAAGAGTATACATCCTCTCTAAGCAACAGTGTGGGCATCTAAAAATATTAGGATTAGTTCCTGCCTTCAAAAATAGACCACTTCCTCAGTCACTGTCTTGATTATGTACCATCATTTGACTTAAACCAAAGCTAAACAGAGTTATAAAAAAAAAGTTGAGTAGAATTTGAAGTAGAGGAAATAGTAAAAATGAAATAAATACTTAAAAAGGAAGGGAATCATTACCAAAACGTGTAAACCATGAAATCCTCACCTTTGCTTTTGGACAAGAAATTGCTTCAGATCCTGAAGGATATTTCCTGTTTTTCGTCCAACTTCTAAATACAGGTTTGGTCGATCAAAGCTAGTACAAGTAATCTGAGGATTCTTCAGCCTTAAGCAATGTACAATATCTTCCCGGATGGAAGGACTCGCAGTGGCAGTAAGTGCAACAATTGGAACCTGAATGAAGCAAAATTGATCTTTCAAAAATGAGAGAGCTCATTAATTCCCAGCATTTCTACTGCCTGCTTACAAAAACACTGGAAGACAACTTCAGGAGGAACAGTATTAAAAATGAAACTTTAAAATTATTCTTTTTTCAACAACAACAAAAAACTTCCTATTAGTTGTTTCTAGCCTTCTGAATATTTATTTTTTTAAATGGGAAATTATTTAAATAAACATTAACTCCATAAGATTTCTAAATGCAATCCATTGTCCTATTAAGACTACTTATTGGCTATCTACCTGTCCATTTATTATTTTTTTATTAAATTTATAATAGTGCTGATATAAATGGGGGTTATGTTATGCCTTGTTTGTGATTAATCTGTAATTCGCTGGCTATAAACCCTTTCACACCCTGAAAAATCTAACTATATAACTCATTAAGTCTCCTGTATTAAATATATTAGTTTATAGATTCTCAGATCTAGAAGCAAAGCTCTCAAGGACCTGAATAACCTCTCTCCAGTTTTACCAAGCTGAGCATGGCATACGATATAGAAGAAAATTTATAAAATAAAATCTATTATTAACTGATTCTTTGATCAACCAAGTCATGCTCTATTTTCAGTTTAGCAAAGACTTCTTAAGAGGATTAGCAGCCAAAGGAAGAGGCACATCAGATTCCATGAAAAATATAAGTATGTAATCTTTCAGAAATTCAAAAGTAGGATAACATGCCTGAAACTAGAGTTCATATTTTTGTCACTATTATCTTAGGGACTTATAAACAACTCTGCTATTATTTAATAATCAGAAAAAATAGACTAAGTCTTAAAGTTGCTCCCAAATCATGCTTTTCAGTATCTGAGAATACAACTTTCTTAAAATACTCTTCTTAAGAAATAGGCACCCCTCTGTTTATCACCGCATTATTTACAGTAGACAAGATATGGAAGCAACCTAAGTGTCCATCAATAGATGAATAGATAAAGGAGATGTGGTACATATACACAATGGAATATCACTCAGTCATAAAGAAAAAAGAAATCCTGCCATTAGCAACAACATGGATGGATCTAGAGGGTATTATGCTCAGTGAAATAAGCCAGAGAGAGACAAATACCAATGATTTCATTTATTTGTAGGATATAGAAACAAAGCAAAACAGAATAAACAAAAGAGCAGTACATTCATAGACACCAAAAAGTGACTAGTTTACCATGGGGGAGAGGCTGGGATGGGTGACAGGTATAAAGGGGCACAAAAAGTCTCAATCATATTGTAAGTTAGACACAGAGATAGCAGTGCAGCATGCAGAATACAGTCAATGATTTAGGAGCACCTTTCTATGTAGACAGATAGTAACCACACTAATGGGGGCGCGGATTTAATAATAGGGGTAAGTGTTGAACCACTGTGTTGTATTATTCGAAACCAATGTAAGACTATCAATGATACTTCAATAAAAAAAATTCTCCTTTTAACCCATTACAAACACAGTAAACAATATCCTCAAACAGCTCTTCAGATATACTGCAGCCACCTCACAAATCAGTTTACGTAATTATCCTGTATGTAAGTGAAAATTTCTATGAAATTTGTAAAAAAATCAATTACAGAATTTGAAAAACAAGATAAAATTTATTAAAAACTACTAACTACCTTGTTTATAATCAATGTATCTTTACAGAATTAAAAATTATCTCAAAGCTCATGTAAAAAAAATCAATTATATTTGGAAGTAGCTTTTTAAAGGAAAAAAAATGTACATCAAAACCAGTGTGACTAGGCAATCAGCATTTTTGAATTCTCTATCCTTAAATTGTGTAAAATTAACTTTATTTAACTTCCAAATTAACTTCACTGATTTGGGGCTTACAGATCATCCTCTGAATTTAGAGTGCCGGCCTAAGAATTTATAGGTGAAAAGGCCAATTTACAACAAAGTTAGTTTCTCTAATCAAGCCATGTGTGTGTGTGTGTGTGTGTGTGTGTGTGTGTGTGTGTGTGTAATGAAAAAACATCCATATCAAACCTAAGGCTGAGAATACGGATAGTTCAAACATTAGCAATTCCAAGGACATCCATGTTCTCACCCTCACAACAACAATTTTCAGCAACTTAAGTTCTTTACTAAAACATTTATAAACGTACTAATAAAATATTTGCTTAACTATATGCAGATAAAATAGAAACTTTTAAGGATAGGGACCATGAGAAAAGAGGGTTTGGTCTGTTTCTAAGCAATGTAATGTTGACTGGATGGATAATGCATTTATGAAAATAAGGAAATAAGCATGAAACCTGATACCCCTTGAATAAGTTAACAGAAAAATCAAGTAAAATAGCTGCACAGCAGTGAAAAAAATCTGGCTTAGAATCAGTTCCCTGAGTTCAAACCATACCTTTGCCACCAACTAGATGTGAGAGTCTGAGCTGGTTATTTCTCTCTCTAAACTTTGGTTTCCTCATAAAAATTTACTACAGTCACAGCAACAATCTCATAAAGTCACTGTAATGAACAAATAAGATACAACATGCAATGTGCAAAACGTAGTGCATGGTACACGATTAGTACTCAGAAGTTCCAGCTACTACTGAGGCTGTTATTACAACTGCTGAAGAGACTCCTATACAAGAACTTGAGACAGGGGCACTGCTCCCAGACTTGCCACTCACCTTGGCAAGGGCTGGCCTCTCTTGGCCTCAGAATCTCATCAAAACATGACATGGAGATGGATAAATAATGTTAGACTCTCTTCTTACTTAAAAATTCCCACTTTGCCACTAGAAACTCTCTATTCTGGTGACCTAACAGTGAAAATTCACTGTAAATTCATTCTTTGCCTTCAATACCTAGAAAGTCACGGTGAAGAATGTTGCTTCCAACAACTAGAAACAGAATGAAGTTAATGAAATATAGTAAAGTTACAAAACAATGGTTATAACTTTCACTGCAGAAATGCATAGAATCTTTTCTTAAAAGTGTGTGGTGCTTTATGACATTTAAAATTTATTAACTAGGGTGAAGTTTAAAAATAACACAAAGGCTGGTTATAAGAACAGTAACCATAAATCCTAGGCTGCTGGGACACTCCCATTTTATGCTGTTATCACAGCATAATTAATACTTTTGCATCCTTTGATGTCCTACAACAAATGGTCTGGACAATAAATTATACTGTCACCTAACTTTGTCAAATTCTTACCTCATGCAACTTTTATTTCTTAAATGGGAAAATCTTGGTTTCTGTGGTAGTGAGTACCAATTTGTATTAAGACAAGCAACAACATATACATTAATCTTGTGACTATAAATTTAGGACTGACTCAGTCATATACTTCCATGGTGCAGCAGCTACAGGTTCAGAGAACTGTAACTATCCATCTGCTTCTAACTTTGGGACATGTTGCTAATTCTACTTCTGTACTCCCGTAGTATCTTGCTTTCCCATTCACTCATTCATGCTAATAGTCCTGAGTGTGGCCTAGGCACTGGTCTTTGTGAAAAGGCTAGAGAGAAAGTAATGGAAAGAACCAGTGTGTCCCATGGATCTAACAGTTCCTCTTACTTGAATTTTATAGAATTTTTAGACTGATGTAGCTTTCTCCCTGGCTGCTCTTTTTTGAGATCCCCCTTTGTCTGATTCTCTCTAAATGGGAATCTTTATGCCAAGTGGTTTAGTGATTTCTTTACTATTTTTGAACTTGTTGAAATAATATGGTGTGAAGTGCTGCAGTTTACGCTAGCTGTCCCAATGAAATTGCAATTGGAAGAGAAAAAAAAGCCCTGAGAACAGTGAGGAAAATGAAAGTCCTACAACCACCAGGTGGCATTTCTCACCACTTAGCTAATAACGAAGATTGTGAAAACACTATGAAAAAAGGTTTTATCAGAAATTGCTTGACAAACACCCTGTGTTATATTGACTCATCCTGAGAGATGAAAATGATTCACTGGAGTCCACAGCCAGACATAACAAAAGTCTTAATTCAACACTTTAAAGTATTGAAGAACTGCATAAGATATTTAAAACTCTTCTAATACAATCCTTCTAGAGCCAAAGGCCTAGGAAAGGATTACAGAAATCAAGCTTCCTATTTTCCCACAGCGTACGTGAAACCATTCTAAATTAACGGAAAGCCATCATGAAGATACACTGAGATCGGTGACTTTCACATTCAAGTATCTTCTTTTTCTACATATACTATGAACACTCTTAACCTTTCTATATTATTCATAACATTCCATAAGCCATTTTATTGTTTGGTATTATCCGTTCTACATGTATAGGCATGAATCTACAGTCCCTTACTGGGCTATAAGCTACTTTAAGGCAAAAACTATGTTCTATACTTCTTTCAAATCATTTGCTTGAGAAACTAGCAGTGTTATACTGCATAGCTATTGACCAATACTATCACTCACTACTTGTAAGAGAAATTTACTTCTCTGATTGATTTACTCATTTATCCCTTTATTTATAGAGCACCCACTGTGCACCAGCTACTGTGCTAGATTTTATACACAAAACCATCAAAAACCCCTCCCCACAAAGAATACTCTGAGGACCCACGGACAACAGACAAAATATAATACAGAAAGTTAAACAGTGATAAGTGTTATTTAAAAATAGCAAAGAAATATAAGGAATGTTGAATGTTGGCAGAAGGGATTAATCTGAAATTTTGAATATGGCGGCCCAGGAGGCCTAAATACAATGTTACATTCTAGAAAAGCCCTGAGAGAAGCTAAGGGATCACACCATGTAAGTTACCTGAGCAAAGAAAGGGAACAGCAGCAACAAGGTCCATCCCAAGAGCATGCTTGTGTTTGAATTCAAGAACCCACAGAATGAGGATCAAGCAGAAGAGGATGAGGTCAAAAAAAAAATTTAAGACCAAATCACTGTAAATGACTGTAGTGACTTTTGTCTTTAAAGTGAAACAGTCTGCTACAAGAAGATTTTGAGGAGAAGACATGATCTGTCTGACATACCTCACAGATTGCA